CCCTGTGTCCCCCGGGTCCCCTCAGTCCCGCCCGGCCCCTGTGTCCCCCGGGTCCCCTGTGTCCCCTGGGTCCCCCGGGTCCCCTCGGCCGCCGCCGCCCCGCAGAGCCCCGGGCTCGAGGCCCCGCGCGCGCCGGGCCGCGCTGCCATGGTAACGCGTCTCCCCGCGCCGCGCGTCCCCATGGCGACCGCTCCTTCCGGGAGGTGCCTCCGCCTTTCCCCCCGCCCCTCCCCTCCCGGCGCGCGCGCTCGGGCGTTTCCGCCGCGCTCGGCGCCGCTCGGCTCCTTCCGCCCATGTCGGACGCGGGCGCCGCCGCCGACGGGTCCCGCTGCGAGCGCCCGGCGGGGCGGCCCGCAGGTACCGGCGGGCTCGGGGCGGCCCAGGGGCACGGGGCGGCCCCGCGGGCTCGGGGCGGCCCAGGGGCACGGGGCGGCCCCGCGGGCTCGGGGCGAGCTCCGCTACGCGGTGGCCCGGGGGGGCAGCGCGAAACGCGGCCTCGCTGTTCGTCCGTTTGGAAGCCGGGATTGACGCTTTCTGAAAGCGCCCTGCGGCTGGGAGGGCTCCTGTACCCCTAACATGCCCTCCCTCCCTCCCTCCCTCCCTCCCTCCCTCCATCCATCCATCCATCCATCTATTCCTCTCTCGGGGTCATTAGAGACAACTGGTTTTTTCCAGCCCTGCAGGGCAGGGAGGCCGCCTGTAACGGGAAGAGCTTCTTGCTCCGCTCTCCTTTCCACAGCTCCGGACCTTACAGCGTGCCAGGGCTGCCTGTAGTTTGCCGTCCTTGTCTGCGTGGTTTAAACGTTAATTCTTTTCCATCTTCTCTCCGCATGCTCTGCTTACGGCTAGAAAATGAGGATTCGGCGCCAAGGACGGAGCTTGTGGAGCAGCCGGCTGCCGCTTTGGAGTCCGGGAGGCCCCGGTGCAGGTAGGCAGATGTTTCCGTGCCCTCATCCACGCGCACGACAACCTGTTTCAGCCCCTCCGCGCCCTGTGTCCGGCAGTGGCTCCAGGCCTGGGGGGGAGGAAGGCCCGAGCCGCCCTCTTGGGATGGTAAGTGCAGGGATCCTATAGGAGGCCTGGTGCCTGCAGGCCGGAGCGTGTTGGAAGCTCTAAAAATAATAACATGTGGCTCATGGCTCGGCTGTGAAAACCACAGAATCATTTAGGTTGAAAGAAATGCTGGAAAGTTGCACAGTCAAACCTCAATAAGAACTAATAAATTTTTGACAGGAAATCGTTCTCTCTCTCCTGTCCAAAGGATGCTTTAATAATTAAGAATTCTCACCCTGATTATAATCCCCAGGGCAGCTAGGAAACAAACCACCTTTTGCTGCCTTCTCGACAATATCTGTTTCTTCACCCTTTGTCTTCCACGTCCTTGTTCTTCACTCTGTCCTTAATATTGCTAATGCACCACGATGTCAAGTGTTTGGCCTGTTGTTGTCTGTGTGTTGGACCTGTGGCACTTGGGGTCTCACCGTTGGACTGGTTGCAGCACGAGGACTGTGTGTCCTGCTGAGTGGGAGCTCAGCCTGTGAGGTCCCCCCGCTCGGCCGAACACAACCTCGCTGCAAAAGACAAAGGAAAACCGAGTAAATTAGGCAGCAATTGAAGGTCGTCCTCTCTGAACGCTAATGAAAATTGGAGCAGCCTTCTTGAATCCAAGCATATTTCTTCCATCTCACTTTACTGTGTTCTCTAGTTTTCTTTGAAGAAATTAATGCAGGCTGTGAGGGAAAGGGTCAAAGCAGATGCCAGGTGTTTGTAGATGTTATGAGACAAATTTATTTGTTAGATCCCCTTTGAAAGGAAGTGGAGTCATCCCAATGGGGTATATGAATCAGCTGAACTTTGTAAATCTGCCTATGAAGCTTGTGTAGCTCTTCTTAATCTTCGCGTGACCCTCTGGGGATTCAGTCTTGTTTGGAGAAAAAGGAAAGAAAAGAAACAGTCTCAAGCTGTCAGATCCTGTGTTGGTGGGTAACCTGAGCAGATGTGTGCATGTATGGTAGCAGGGGCCAAATAGACTGTCTGGTGTGAGAGTTATCTTTGTGTTATCTTTGTTAAGATAAAAAGCAAATTTGATGGAAAACAATGATATAGAAGTTCTAATGTCTCATACTACCAAAGAGACAGTTTCAAGTTGCTATGAGAGCTCTTCCTTTAAAACAAAACGAAAAACACTGTCCCCTGCAAGTGTTCCTTCTTTTCTGCTACTGTCTGTCATTTTGAGTATCCTAGCGTTGGGCTCCCTTGAGCAGCTCCCGCAGACCTTCTGGTGTGTCGTGCCATTTGCAGGAGAGGAAATTGCAGCACTGAGAGCGTTTTGTTGGGTAAGAAATAGCTTTTCAGGATCCAGCCTCCGCTCCCCATAGGAGTACAGATTTGGAAACAAAAGACATATTTGCCTGGTTCTGATCTCTTCCTTTTACAGGCACAGCACAAACTGTCTGAATTAAGCTCTTTCTGTTTATTTTTTTCCCCTTTTATTTATTTTAAAGCTATTCCACACTGTATTTCTATCCTGCCTCTTTGCTAAACAGAATATTTCTGATTCCAAAAGTAGAAATTTCAGATAATGTACATATTTTCTACAACTGCTGCATTATCTTGTTTCTTATTTTTTAGACTTGGGAAACTGGCATTGGTTTTGTACTGCCATGGGGGAAGTGGTTTCCTTCTCAGAACTGAAACCATTTCTATTCATAGTAAACACTAGATCACTTCTTATGACAATTTCATATAGCACTTAAGAGTATGACTGATGACATGTAGAGGTGACAGTATACATGTTAATGACATGCATTTATTTGGGGGCAGATTAATTATTTCCAGCAATAGATAGCTCTTTTGTTTTAATAGCAGTTTAGAAAAAAAAATCATTCAACAGTGACTGAATGCCAAGGATGTTTCTTGTCTGCCTCGACTTCAGCAAGGCTTTCAACATTGTCTCCTATAACATTCTTATAGGGAAGCTCAGGAAGCGTGAGTTAGGTGAGTGGAGGTAGATCGAGGCCTGGCTGGTTGGCAGAGCTCAGAAGGTGGTGATAAATGGGGCTGAATCCAGTTGGAGGCCTGTGGCCAGTGGTGTCCCCCAGGGGGGTCAGTGCTGGGCCCGGTGCTGTTCAACCTGTTCATTAGTGACCCAGACGAGGGCACGGAATGCACCCTGAGCAAGTTTGCAGATGACACCAAGCTGGGTGGAGTGGCCGACACTCCGGAGGGCTGTGCTGCCATCCAGAGGGACCTGGACAGGCTGGAGAGTTGGGCAGAGAGGAACCTCCTGAGGTTCAATAAGGACAAGTGCAGGGTCCTGCACCTGGGGAGGAATAACCCCAGGCATCAGTACAGATTAGGGGTTGACCTGCTGGAGAGCAGCTCCACGGAGAGGGACCTGGGAGTCCTGGTTGACACCAAGTTAACCGTGAGGCGGCACTGCCCTCGTGGCCAAGAAGGCCGAGGGGATCCTGGCATGATGGTTAAAGATGATGAAGGGACTGGAACATCTCTTGTATGAGGAAAGACTGAGGGAGTGGGGCCTGTTTAGCCTGGAGAAGAGAAGGTTGAGAGAGATCTGATCAATAAGTATAAGTACTTGAAGGGAGAACGTAGGGAGGATGGGACCAAACTCTTCTCAGTAGTGGCCAGTGATAGGACAAGGGACAATGGGTACAAGTTGAAACACAGGCAGTTCCATCTCCATGTGAGGAAGAACTTCTTTCCTGTGAGGGTGACAGAGCCCTGGAACAGGCTGCCCAGGGAGACTGTGGAGTCTCCTACTTTGGAGGTCTTCAAGCCCACCTGGATACCACGCTGTGCCCCGTGCTCTGGGTGTCGGACTAGATGATCTCTAGAGGTCCCTTGCAACCTCAACCATTCGGTGATTCTGTGATTCTTTCATGTTTTTTATTTTTCCTGCTGTGTAGCTTTGTTTTTGTTCTAACATACTCACCTCCTCTTCTCACAATGCAGTGTCTGGAGTTCTTTATTATCACACTGCCATTGCACAATTTATGGCTTGCTTGTTAGTGAAAATATTAGAGAACGACCCACGTGTCCTTTCTACCCCTTGGATTTGCCAATATGGAAGACATGATGGGCCACTTCAATACAAGGCATTTTCAGTACGGCTTTCAAAATTTGGAATTCTTTCAGTGATCCATCTGACCTGTAATGAGATATATAGATGTCATATAGAGGCTGGCATAGAAGTAGTTGTCATTTCTTCAGCAGTGAAGTTATTACTGACTACTGTATTTCGTACAGCATTAACGAGCTGGCATGTTGTGAGGAGGATGCTGTGAAGTGCTGCTCTCTAAAAGACAATAAATAGGGAATGAGCTCACGGGAATGTCCCTGTGGGTTGCATAGGGAGAAGGTAGAGCTGCAGGTGAGGTTTTACTGGAGTGAAAACAGCCCTTCATTTCAAGTGATGGGTTGTGGTTCTAGGGAGCTTGTTTTCCCTCAGCCCATTTGAATTTTGATCCTGTAGTGGTGTCTGTCATGACTGTGGTCTGCCACTTGTGTCCTGAGTTGAAGTACTGAATTGAAATGCTCTCTTCTTCTGAGAGGTCGCAGACTGGGCCGCCTGCACAGGATCTGAAGGAAGAAGGTGGCACTTCGGAGGACCGGAAAGTAACTGAATTGAAGGACAAGCAGCCTGACCAAATCCCTTCCCCCAAAGAGGTAGGTGGGGTCTCTTTCTGTCAAAAAGCAAGGAAAGAGGTACAGTGATGTTTCCTCTGGGCTACTGCTGTGCTTATGGCCAGGGGACAGAGGTGTCAAGGGCCCTCTGTGCTGGAACAGAAGTAATATCAATGTAGCTTCAGTTATTTCTTCTGTATATTAGGATGAGAAAAGGCCTTGTAAAATCCCTCTCGTATCTTGGGGTAGTCTTTGTCCCTTTGCTAGGTTTTTTTTTGGCTCACTAAGGCTTCAAGGTTATTTTCACCTTCTACCTTCTGTCTGGGACTTCTGGGAATTCTCTTCTAGCAGATTTATCAAGGAAGGAGCTGAACAGACTCCGCTATCTTGGTTTTTTTGTTTGTTTTTTTTTGGTGAGCAGCCAGTTTGTTTGCATTACAAATAGAGTCTGGAAACCTGCGCCAAGTTGCACCTGGCACACAGCAAAGGGCTGTGTGTTTTGCATATATGAGGAGAGATCTGGCCCTGCAAAACCAGATGAACATTTAACTAGGACACAAGAAACGTCAGTGCAATTGTAGCTGCAGTCAGATGGAGACCAAGCTGAAGGGCTATCCCTGGAGAGAGAGTGTCTTGGGAATCCTGGCTGAAAGTAGTCAGCTATATTTGGAAGGCAGCTGCTTTGCAAGCAATGACAATGGCTTTGGGGTAGATACCCAGATGTGCCTGTCCACAGAGACCCCCTCCTGTGGCAGAGGGGAGCCGAGGTGTGTGTAAACTGTGGTATCATTGTCACATAGGTGGCATTTGGTTTTGTGACTTTCGTGTTATGAGGGTAATAATAGAGATATGCATCAGAGCCAGACGGTTCTTTTGCAGCTGTAACAGAAGCTTCTGCAGAGCTGACTTGGCTTCAGAAAGATGCCTGGATTACTAACCAGTTGCTTCAAATCCATTGAGAACCCTTACTGTGATGCTCTTGGTGACTTTGTGTGTGTGCCTTGTGCAGGAGTCTGTTTTTCGGATGACCAAATACCACATACCTCAAGGAGCAGGGGATATAGTCATGATTCAGTCGGATCACACGGGTGCTGTGGATATCCTGTCAGCTGAGCTGGAGACTGCAGACCTCCTCGGGGAGCAGAGGAAAGGTGAGGCCTGAACAGGCAGGTGACTGAACTGCTTTTGAAGCATCTGAGCCTGACCCAGCTGGAAAGAATAGAAGCTGCTTTGCAGGCCCTGCTGCAGGTGGGGAATTATGGCTAGTGAATGGGAAGACTTCACATCCAGGGTTTCTGAGAGCAGGCTCGGGATTGCTGGAGTCTTATCAGGAATAGCTTCACTGTTTTCAGATAACAATGCGCCAGCAGTGACAAATGAGCTGAACTGATAGTTTTGTCTCTTCTCTCAGCTCAGCCTCCTCCTCTGGCTCCACCCACGACGTGGACCACTGAGAAGATGAAGGAATTCAAAGCCAGGTTGGGAAAGGAGAAGAATGGCCGCATGGTGGTGAAGCGAGGTGAGGTGGTGACAGTCCGTGTGCCAACCCATCCGGATGGGAAACGTGTCTGCTGGGAGTTTGCCACAGATGACTACGACATTGGATTTGGAGTCTACTTTGACTGGACTGCAGTGACTAGCACTGCCATTACCGTGCAGGTCAGCGAATCCAGTGATGAGGAGGATGAGGATGAGGATGAGGAAATTGAAGGTAACTGGTGCGCAACTTTTAAGGATTAACTTGTGGAGCTTGTTATCTTGCTACTGAGAGCATGTCAGATGTTATAATTTCCATCTTTGTTTACTCAGCCCGTTTGTTATCTCTGCAGCCTTTTGGGTTCTTGGTAATGCTGTGGTGAGAAAATGTTTAGCATTTCTTGTTTCAGCATATGCTAAAGACTGTCCTTGTCCAAGAGCATTCTTAAATGGAGGTGGAGGGAGGGCTGGTATCTGAAGCAAATCTTGTAGGAATCTCTTCTCTTTAAGGAATCCCCATGGAAAAGTGAATTGAGGACATGCCGAAAAAATGAGGTTATTGCTAAGACCCTTCCCGGCGTTCTTTTGCCCCAAGTCAGTGTCACTGGGATGACTCTGAGGAGAACTTGCTTAGTGTGTGTGTAAAAGTAGTTAGGTGCCTGAAAGGTATTAACTAGGGGAGGAGGTCAGACAGATGGTGGGGACCACTGTCCCATAGGTATTCCCCCAAAAAATGTTTTTTTCAATATGTTTTTTGTCAAAGTAGGAACAGCTGGACTCTGTGAGCAGAGGTCAGGGCAGACATTACATGTAATGCTATTGTAGTCAGCTTTATATATTCTTTGCATATATAAAAAGATATATACGCAAATATATCTTTTTATATTTGCATACCTGTAATATATTCTCGGTTGTTGATAATTTTCTAGTGTCTCATGGCTTACCTGACTCTGTCCTATTTGTTGTCTCCTCTTTTCTCTGCAGGACTTGCCCCTGTTGGGGATGTGGAAAGGGGCTCCAAGAGCTGCCCGCGGAGCCGCTACGGGGAGATCATGCCCGTGTATCGGAGAGACAGCCACCGGGAGGTGCAGGCGGGCAGCCACGACTACCCCGGCGAAGGCATCTACCTCCTCAAATTCGATAACTCCTACTCACTGCTCCGCAACAAGACTCTGTTCTTTCACGTCTACTACACCAGCTGAAGGGACGGAGGGGCAGGGACAGCAGGCAAGTAACGGTGAGTGGAGCAGGCTGCCAGCCAGCCCTGGGACTCCCTGGTGGGCACTGCTGCGTTACAGAGTCAGGGCACGACTCTGCCAGCTCTTCTTCAGATACGGACTGGCTTTTCCCCCAACCCTCCTTCCCAGCTGACCCGGTGAAGAAGGTAGTTGTGACTGCCTGACTGTCCACAGGCAGCTGCTCTTTCGGTAAAACGTCAGGAGACCTGGTCTGAAGAGACCTCAGCCTGGGGCTTCTTGTCACAGCCAGGATATGTCCAGAGGCCAGGTTCAGCTGGTTGTAGCTTCTTTCTGTTGCACTGGTACGAAATGAAGTCAAAATGTTCCTTGATTTGTTACAGTTTTGTAAATAACTTTTCAGACTCTTCTGCTGCATCTGTGTCACTAGAGGGAGGCTGTTGGCTGAAATGATGTGACTGGATGGTTGGTCACCTACCCACTGATCGTGTCATCACTTACCACCACTCCGTGTCACCACCAGCCAGTGCTTCCTTCATTCACTTACTGGTGTGGGACAGCCTCTGTTGGCAGCGGCCAGATTGTGCTACAGCAGCAAGGGCCCCAGTGATGCAGTGACCGTGTGTTTGTATGGAGTGTGTGGTTGGGAGGCTGTACCTTGGGGTCTACAGGAAAGCCTTTGAATGGACTGAGAGCTGGATATTGCATCCAGTGATTACAGGGATATGTAGCTGATTATAACTCCAGTGACCACCATGATTATGGGATATGTAACTGATTAAAACTCCAGTGACCACCAAGAGGTTTTTTTGTAATACAGCTGTGAAGTGGAAGAAAAAAGCTTACTACAATGCTGGATAAATATGAAACCAGCAAGCACATTGGGATACAACCAATAAATACATAACAGATGCTTCTTAGTAGCAGCATGTTCGTTCACTGGTATTGCTGCTGGATGGATAATATAGTTTATAGTAAGGAAAATGTTCCCCGAGGCAGCTTGTCAGCTGCTATTGCTGTTACAAGGTACTGTTACAAAAGAACATCTGCTCAGAAGCTCAAAAGGTGTGAGATTTAACTAGTCTTTTCTATAAGCTAGAATCGACAAAGCCATTACCAGCCCTCACCGTGTGGTAAAGGATGGTTTTGATTGCCAGCAATGGCATTAGCAATCACTTTCTGCTGAAGTGTTGGCAGAGTTGATCAAGGATTAACTTAATCCTTCAGAGATGAGTTTTAAGTCACATTTATCTGTAACTCACTGTAGTTCTTTATTTTATTTTAACGACCCTGTGGCACATGCTCTAGGTGTCTGTGTTTGAGCAGGGTGGGGGTTGGACTAGATGATCTCTAGAGGTCCTTTCCAACCTCAATGATTCTGTGATTATCTTTTTAACAATACTGTTGTATTTACATTTTGGTATCTCTTTGCAGATAGACAAAATGACTCTTTGCATGGTGATGCTAGTAGAGTTCCAAGTTCTGTTTTTAAATCCTCCAGGTAATGTACCTCCACTTGGTCCACCCTCTCTCTTGAGAGGGAATGAGGGACAAGATGATTTTTGGGTAGTTAAAACCAAAGATTTCAGTCTCCTAGGAGGGCTATTTCCTATTAAGGCTATATTTTAATGCTCTGCAATTTGTTCTGTAGTAAGATTCTTCTTCTAACTTCCTGTGTTTATGTACTCATCTTCCCAAAGCACTTAAGTGAAAAAGATGAGAGAGAGAAACCTGCAACAAAGCAGCCCAAGCCAGCCTTGCTGAGTGGAACTGCAGAGGACATCGGCCAGCGCCCTGTGGCTTGCAGGGTGAGGCAGGAAGCAGAGGTGTTCAGGATTAGGAGCAAGGTAGTTGCTGTTCTGCACGCTGAGAGGAGCAGGGAAGAAACAGATACCTTTTTGAAGGAAAAAGAGTGTGAGGGGACCCAGCAAGGATGAACTGCAAAGCTGCCTTATTCAAGAGGGGCGACTCCGTGAGGAGCCCCGGCAGGTAGAACAGCAGGGCTTGGTGCCAGAGTAAGGCCCTTTCTTCATTCAGCAACCAAATCAGGACTATTTCTTCCTTTAACACCCCTCTTGGGGGAGATCTTTGTAGGACTCTTGAGTCAGGTTCGAGCTACTTGAGTATGGTTCTCCCCTCTTCTCATCCTTTGGCTGTCAGGTTCCCAGGCACTAAACAGAAAGACCCTTCAGTCTCTTTTTCTGACTGAAATGCCAGAAATTCCCTCATTGACTAATTGACTGCCTTTGGTCCTTACTATGTGCTCTGGAAGGCCCTGCACATACAATGCGTTGTCAGTCACTCAGTCCACTTTTTTTCTTAGGTTATATTTATGACAAAGGGAATTTAGAGTATTTACATCAAATACTCTAGGATTACTGATGCTCAGTTGCACAACTTAACTGCAACTAATGAGTTAGTGCCAATAAAAACTTTCTATTGCATTCTGTCTCTCCATTGCTAATTTGCAGTTCTTTTCCCTGCTACCCTGTGCACACTAAACCATCTTTCACTTGTACCAAAATTGAAAAATACATTTTCTGTCATTGTGACAAACTGACAAAGTCTGCCTCACCATTAATTTTGTTCACTCACTGAAAGAAATAGTATGTACCCAGTTATCAAGCTAGTAGCAGGTTTAGCTAAGATATCTGCCCTGTAGATTGTAATCCTGCCACTCAGTTCGAGCTTTATGAAATGTGAACCAGACTTTTTATGTGAGGCTCGGGTCATTTGTTCATATCTGTCCTTATTTCTTCGTCTTTATGGCTAAAGCCACATAGCAGCACTGAATATAGTGTGCCATCCCAGCGGATACGCTTGCCCTGAAAATACACTGTACCCATAGATGTGCCTGCTGCAGTGAAACAGAAAGGGTTTGCAGCGTGTTATTTCAATGCTTATGCTTCCCCAAAGTGTCTGGTATCTCTCATAAACACAAAATAGTCTTAGGCATAGAATATTTCATCTGCAGGAAACAGAAGCTTCATGTTTGTACAGGATAATTCTTGGGTTTGTTTGCTTTTTAATTTCCATATTACATGAACATCCTGTTTCTCTGTTAAAGTATCACTCATTATCCAAGTGGCAGCTTGTCTCTGGAAGTAAATTTAGGTTTTTCACTTTCTGAAAAATCAAATAGTTTGGCTGTATGGGTTTGGTGATTAGCAGCAGCCATCTCTATGCAAAATTGAAAACATAGTTGGTTCAAGGAAGTAAACCGCCTGCTTCTCATGTATCCCTTTTTTTCTGCCTTCTCTGTCTCTTAGACTTGTATCTAATCCTGCTGTTGGGTCGAAACAGCATTGGAAACCTTTTCTATTTCAATTGGAGACCTACAGACCATTTTGGTCTACATGGGCAAATGAACTAACGTGGCAGTTGCACTTGAGAGAGGGAACTCAATTCTCTAGAAAAGACAATTCCTACTTTGTTTCTATGGAGGGAAGATAGGTTTTAAAAATGTGCTTGTTCTCCCTGTAAATTCTATCTGGAAATGCAAAAAGCTCAACTGGGGAAGAGGCTTCTTTTGAATTTTGCAAAGTTTTTTTTTTTTTGGTTGGTTTTTAAATTTGAGTTTTTTTTCATGAAAGCACAATTTTTCTCTCATTTTTGTTTTGAAAATAAGTGTAGGAGTAAAATTTCCTATTCAACCAGAGACATAGGACAATCCTGCAGTGCAGGACTTGCACAAAAATCAGGTTGTAATTGTTTACAATAATGGAAACTTTATAACAATCTGTTGGGCATTTTTTAATACTGAAAAGGCCATAAGCTACCCATTGTATTCTCTTTTTTATTTTTCCTCCCATCTATTGGTATAGTAAAATGGCAGACATTTAAATTGTATGTATTCACTGAAGTTTGAGTGCTAAAACTGCTTAAATCGGTCTGCTTGTACAGATTTAATTTACTCTCAAAGAGTATAGAGAGCTATAACATGGACTAATTTTAAAGGTTATTGGTGTCCTCTTTATTCTAGTGCAAAATCATATCTGAGACCATTTAATAGTTGCTGATTTTTCATAACAAGCCTTTTAAAAGTGTACAGATAAGTGGAAAATACATGTTTAGATCTAAGGGGAGAAAGCTTAGTTTTCTGACTTCAGGTGCTAAGGAAGCTGCGTTACTATGCAACTTAGTCTAAAGGATCACCCCGCTCCGTTCTTTTTGCTGTGTGCACCTGCCCATGTGGAAGGTGGGTCCACACGTAACCTTCCTCGTTCATGGCCTTCAGTCAAGGGTCACTTACCCAGAGCAGTTACTGCGGTGCTGGAGGTGGTGAGAGATGGTGGGGAACCTTGTCACACGTCTGGCTGCCGAGAAAAGCACCTACCCTAATTTGTGGTTATGGAATAAGGGTAGACAATGAATCCCCAAGCATGTTCATTTTTAAGCCCTTGTCTGTATACTTTCTTCTTGTCTCCCTACCCTTCCTAGAGCCACTCTGTAGAGGTTTTATCACAAGGTGCCTTAGGAATAAAGAGCATGTCTGAAACAAGAGCCATAGATGTCATTAATCCAAGGAAAAAAATCCTCCTTGTTTCTCTGCTCTGTTGGGTAGAGAGGAGGCGCTTCTTAGGATCAGGTAGGAGAACCCCGATAGGTTGTTTTAGAAGACTGAGGCTGCTCAATAGTCCTCCTTGTTGCTGAAAGATGAGTAGGAGAAGAATCTGCTGGTGTCATAGGATATTTGCCTTTGAAGTTATATGCTGCTGTCAGGTATTGGGGACCAGCAGAGGAGCGCTGCCTTGCATACGCTGTTGCCAAGCCTGAGGACCAGGGAAACACTAGCTAAACATACACAGCATTCCTTGTGGCCATGCATCATTTCCTTAAGACAAGTGTCTGAATTCAGCGTTGGGAGAAGTGTATGCTCATGTGTCGTGAGACTGAAGGAAAGACCAAAGCAACAAAGAATTTTTGGTGTAAATGTGGGAGAAAACTACTTTCTCCCCCCCGTCCCCTCCCTTTTTTTATATATATATTTGGGTGAATATTGAATGTATTTATTAATGTCATGTATATCCAGTGGAACATCTGAATTGGTAGAAGGGAAAACTGAGAACTCATCCTGTTAAAAACATTGGCTAGGCAGACTGGGAAAAAAGCTAGCTGTTTATTGGAATCAAAATGATAGGTCAATAAATAAGTGGATTTGCAATAAATACAAACAAAAGTATTAAAAGGCACGTAAAACTTCAGAGCCCAGACTCCTCTTGTTATGAGGAGAGCTTCTTGTAGGATTATTCCACATTTGCCTCCAAAGTCTCTGGCACCTTATTCTGGAACACCGGGTGCTGGCAGAGTTGAAGACAGAACATGGTACTAGGTGGACGGTGAATCTGACTCCCCTTGGCAGTCCTGCATTCTCTTCTGAATTTTACACATTTCTCTCAAATGCATCAGTTCAATAAATACGCCCTTTATCAAGCAGGGAGTGGAAGGCTTTTATTATCCTTGAATGAGTGCTGTCTAGCTTGAGCCCATCCACTGATGAGTCAAGTCCCTTGGGGAAGAAGCCGGATGCCAGCCATTTAACTTAGAGCTAAAGAGGCTTTGCCAAGTAATGGCCTTAAAGTTGAGTAGCGATTTTTGAAAACTTGAAATGGCTGCAGATGGTGTCCTCGCAGTCTCGAGGCCACCCTCGTGGCTGCCTGCTCCCCAGAATGAAGCCGTCTGCCCTCAGTTCACCGCTCCAAACCATGCGATGGCGAGTGTCTCCTAGCTGGCCGTACCGCTGAGACCTGCGTTCTTGTGAGCTCTGCTGCTTGTCTGTCAGCCCTAAGCAATCCGAGGTGAATGTTTATGTCCTGTAGTTTCAAATTTGAGTTCTCTGTGTCACCTTGATGCTTTTCGTATCCTCCCAAGATACGAGTTTTAAACGGAGAAGAGGGTATTTCAACAAGATTACGTAGCACTGAATGTCTTGCTGAGTGGCCCATATGAAGACTACATTTATGGTGTGCTTGCATTCCTTTTAGGCTTGGTTTGTATTGTTTGTTTGTATTGTGGCTGCTTTGTAATAGTGTATCGGAACCTATTATCTTTAAATAAACTTTTCTCTATGCAAACAAGATCTTTGTCTTGTCTTAAAGCAAAAGAGTGTTTTCATATGAAAACTGAATGACAGACTTCCTATCAAAACAACAACCCAATTAAACTTATTTTTTATGAGGAGAAAAAAATATCTAAAATGCACTATGCAGAGTTCTGGACATTATAATTGCTAATGAACAGACAAATGCTTTTACTGCTCTAGAGTGCAGAAGCAAAGCATAGCTCCTGGAAGCTTTCTGGTTTCAGCCAAGCCATTTTCTGTCAAAATGACCTGCTGGGATTTTTTTTCTTTTTTTTTTTTTTTTCCCTATTTTTAATTATATGCATTCTTTAGAAGGAATAGAACTGGAGACAAGCGAGCAAGTTGCCAAGCTCTTCCTTGTGACAGAGGTGGAATTATATTGCCTTTCCCTCTGGTGCTTAATCTTGACACTTCACCTTCCTTTGGAGAAATTCCTGTACAGCTGACTAGCCTGTTACTTCAGCTTTGCATTTAAAGAACATTAAATCATAGAATCATAATGGTTGGAAAAGACCTTTGAGATCATCAAGTCCAACCATAAACTCGTCACCACCTTGCCTAATAAACCATGTCCCTAAATATCTTTTCAGTTATCTAGGGAAAGTGTTTGCCCTTCATAATGCCCTTAGAGCTGCTTGTCCATGAACAGTATCTGTATTTAAATAGCATGAAGGAAGAGTGTTCAGAGCTCACCTGCTGGACAAAATGATAATTAAGAGTTGCAGCTTCAACCACCTGTTCTTGTTTGTCCTGTTTCAAAGCTCAGTGGGATGAGTACTGAAAATATTCCCCTGGCTCTGTTCTTTCTGTTTGCTTGGAGCGTTTCTATAAAATAACTGATGAAAAGGTGCATTCCTGTTGAAGGTGAAGCAAAGATACAGATACTCAGCCTTGCTTAAGAGAACGGATACAGACTGGCACTGCAGCTAGCTGGAAGTGTGAACATGCTACACATCCCCTCACACTGTCATGGTACGGATATATGTCCATGCGTAAAACTAAATGACTTTGGCGGGTATGGAGGGCAGCGATATGGAAGTTTGAAGTTAACTTTTTCCTCCCATTTTTCTAATTTGTGCAATGAGCCTGCAGCAGAAACGGCTTCCTGATGGCTGCTGTGTTCAGCAGTGCTGTTGCAGGGCGCTGCTTTAGCCCTGCTCTTCTCCCTTCCAGTTACAGGAGCAGGGGTGAATATCGGCCCTTGGGCTACTGAAACCCGGTCTTTGTGGTCTGATCCTTCCACATTGTCTCATTGGCAACAGCACAGCGCCAAAGCTGGCGTTTCCATTGCTACAGCACGAGCCAATTTTTCTAAATGATGCTCTGCCCTCCTCACGTCCTCTCGCGGTGGGTGTCGAGATGGCCGAGTAGTCGACAAGCCTCGTGTCTGCTCCTTCTTACACACAACAGAAATATGCGCGGATAACGTTATTTATGGGATTTACGGGATGAGAAAACAACCATTTTGTGCAAGCAGAGATGCGTGGCTTGGGCACTGCAGACACATAGAGCTCGGTGCGGGGCCGGGCCGGGCCGGGCCGAGGAGCC